TCACTGCCATATAGGAAGATTGATATTACATAGCAGTTTAGCATTTTTTTACTTTTCTAACGAAATTTTCTCGTTTTTTGATATTTTATTTAGCTTTTTGAAAAAGTGTCGCTGTTTCTGTAACAATCTAGATATGATTTTTTTTTATCGTGAAAGGTAATTTGGTTTTTAAAAGTGTCGCTGTTTCTGTAACAATCTAGATATGATTTTTTTTATCGTGAAAGGTAATTTTGCTTTAAAAAGTATCGCTGTTTCTATAACAGTCTAAATATGATTTGTTTTATCGTGAAAGGTAATTTGGTTTTAAAAAAAAAACATTAAAAAAAACCTCCCATTTTGGATATTGAATAATAAATAATTACAAATTTTGCTCGAAGAATTTAACTCCTACCAAATGTTCCTGATATTTATGCACCGTTTCGCTCGACCCATTCTCCAACCCTAGTCAATCTGTAAGAAAAAGTTATAACCTTATATCTCTCGGAAAAGTAGCGATAAATAAAAAAGTTTTCCTTCATTTTATCCACCGACTAAAATCAGATTCATCTATGTTGCATAATAGTGATAATATTTCCAATATTAAAACTAATCCAAAAACAATGAAAGACGACTTAATTCGTACAAAGCAAAATAACAGCAACTTAAAACCTGATAAATTCCGGTTTAGTCTTCTGCATTCACTTTCGCACAAATCCCTTTGTCAAAAGGCATGTATCCACCGTATATACTCGAGTAGAGGACGAATTTTTGTAATCAGTTTTTTTTTTACGCCTAAAATAAGGGACATTTTGAAGAGGTTAAAAATCATGTATTTTCTGTAACCGATTGCCCTATACACATGTAATTCTTTTCTGGATAGGTTAAAATTCATCCATTTTAGGTGACCCTAATCTACCAAGTAGATTCTCACACTACATATGGTTAACCTTAACAATAGAGGTAAGATCCTTTAGCCTGCTTCCTGTGGTGTAGATTCTTTCTTTCTATTGTTAAATGAACAGCAGAACGTCATTCACTCTGCGATAGGATAAAAATCTATTAATTCTTCATTTATATGAGGCATTTGTTGATTTTAAGTGGCAAATATAGTGGATGTGGTTTTGCTATTCATGTAACAACAAAAAGGGAAAAAACTTAAGCTATATAGGAGGCAGGTCTAGGGTAAAGGAGGTTACCTTAGTCAGGCATGAACAAAAACAAAAGTACGGTATCTAAATCTTTGTATCAGATATTTTACGGTAAGTGGGTTTCCTCACCATTTTGCGGTTAGCTTTGTACGAGAAAGAACGAAGATCATTTATTTGTTTTAAATTTTGTCCAGGATGATGCCTAGTACGGAAATGATTGACTATGATAAGCCTACAAATATTGCTCAGAAGCTTGGATCACATTATACACAAGTTTTATGTAAAAAAAATCAGGAGTCGCACTTTACATGAAGTAGACATGTACATGACAACATCCGGTATTCTTCAACCTTCTCCTTGGCACCAACGATGAATTAAATGGCTTTCCAGGTTTGGGTGGTGGCCTGACAAAAGTGAAGCACACCTCTGAATTCCAAACCGTGAAGAAGACAACAGGAAACCACTCCCCTATCTTCTCCAAGAAGTTATGACAACAGATAATAAAAAAAGAATCTGTGGAGAGCCATGATTGCCTGTGTTCTGAAGGGAGAAAGATTTCTCTGAATTCAAAACCGTCAAGAACGCAACGGAAAACCATTCCAATATCTTTCCCAAGAAGGCATGACAATTCACAAATAAGAAAGAAAAGGAATATATGAGAAACCTTGATCGCCTAAATTCTGAATAGAGAAAAATTACTCTGAATTTCAAACCATGCAAAAGGTAATACAAACCATTCCACTATATTTTCCAAGAGCTCACAGATAATAAATAAGAGGAATTTCTGCTTGACTGCTTTCTCTCCAGCTTTAGGACGAGAAATACCCTAATTTTAAACTAAGGGCTCAGAAATATTCATAAGTTCCAATTCCAATTGGGTTCATTATATTCCTTTACGCGCAATAAGGAAAGGTATGAAAATCCACCTCTTCTCCCCCAACTATGGATTAATTAGTAAGACTTGCATCACTAAGTCATTATCTAAAAAAGAATTCTTACAATCTAAAAATGTTGCCTGGCTTTAAATAACTTGCGAATGCTTGATAAACCGTAGAACACCAATCAGTCAGTCAAAAAAATCCTTACACTGTAAAAATGGTTTTCTGGCTTTAAATAACCTGGAAAAGGTTGATAAGCCATAAAAAAACAAATGAATCAATCTATAAATTGCTGAAAAAAAGACAAATTAAATTCCTTAATATCACATAAAAATAAAAGAAGCCATAATTTTGATTTAAAAAAATGTTAACTTAGTATAAAAAAAAATCAACACAACCCATTATGGAGAAATAATCTTTGGAAAGGTATGAGTCCACTTGTTCTTCCCCAGATATGGGTTAATTAGAAAGACTTGCGTCACTTAATCATTAAAAAAAAATTAAAAAAATTACAACCTAAAAATATTTTCAGGCTTTAAGTAAACTGCATGGGGTTGATAAGCTGTAGAAAACGAATAAATCGATCAATCAAATACTGACATGTCTTTTAGATTTATTTACATTCTCTGGAATATAAATCTATAGAAACTACAGTGGCCACAAAATGAGGGTTGTGTTTATATATTGACTGTAATATAGAATTGATCCTCCATTTTATGTCCGCATTAAAATTTCCTATCAAATTCTGATTAGATATGAAACCACTATTTAGTAAGACTTGTAACTTATTTTTTCTTTAATGTGCCGTGTCCCTTCAGGACGTAGGCGATCATGGCTCTCCGCATCCTCCTATCCCTAATTCTCAGTAAGTTTTGTCTTTTTGCTACTTCTCCCAGACCCTGTTCTGCCATCCATTTGCCACCCACTTGCTTAAGTCCGATATGTATGTCACACGTCACTATCCTTTGTCTCTCTTCTCCTCTATCCGCCCTATGAGTATCAGATATTCCAAGCCTTCCTTTCTCATTACTTGTCTCAGAAATTTCAACTGCATCTTCCTTATGTTAAGTATAAGTTTCCTCTTTGTTTGCATCCTCCCCAAAACCTTATCGTTGCTCACACGCTCGGTCCATGATATCCTTAGCATCCTTCTGTAGAACCATACCTCCGTTGCCTCGAGTCTGTTCTTCATCTTTAAGGAGACCGTCCAACATTCACTGTCGTAAAGGAAGACAGATGTCAGGTAACAGCTCAGTACTTTTTTGTTTGTTACCATCGAAACCCTCTTGTCTCGTAATACTCTGCCCAGATTTTGAAATGCGTCTTTGGCCATCCCATTACGTCTTCGGATCTTTAGCGTCGCACTTACCGTCCTCTGGCTAACAGTCTAACTCTCTGCCTTCGGGCGGAGAGGAACCCAGACGACGCTCCGCCGAAGGGCAGAGTCTCGTTCGGGGTGGTTGACTGCCCCTGAACCCGTTTATGCGGATTCAAAGAGGGAATATTTTTGGCCGAGCCTACGCGATCGGAGATCCCACGTTAAACCCGGCCTTGTGCTACATGTAACCCTCGTGGTGGGGAGGGGTGAGCTAAATATCACTTACCGTCCTCTGTCAGAACACTTCGCAGATATTTAAATTTCAGCACGTGCTTGATTTTAGTGTCCCCGACCTGTAAATCGCACTTCGGGTTCATCACTAAAACATTATTATCTCCAAAAAGCAAAACAGAAAAATTCTTACAATCTAAAAATATTTCCTGGCTTTAAATAACCTGCAAAGGGTAGATAAACCGTAGAAAATGAACCAATCAATCAAAAGTCCGTAGTATATCTTGTTCATGCTTTCGCTAATGTTCGTTGTTTATTTTAAGTGAATATTTAATTTAATTTAATTTATTATCATCATATAATGATCGTGCTTGTCCCTACCTTCATTAGTTTGCGCAGGCGTTACGTCCTGCCAATAACTCATAAATAATGGACCGTTCCGTTTTGACCGCGTGGAAAGACAAGACACATCGGAGACGCTACGAAAAAGCAAAGCAAAAAGATGGACGTATTAAACCTCTCCTGCTAATACCTCATGAATAATGAATGGACCATTCCGTTTTGATCACGTGTGAAAAAAACAGACGACATCAAAGACGCCACTTGGTTTTAGTGAGAAAATGAAAGAAAGAATGAAAAATAGACGTGTTTAACGTCTGTTTCACTGAAATGGAAAAAGTTACCAATTTGAAATATTTTTCATTTGTACCCCCTTACTTCTTAAAATAACAAGCATTCCTATTTATGATTGTTATTGCAATATTTTGTTAAAGTCCATAAGCTCAGATGTTTAACGATGAGTTAGGAGGATTTTCTCCGGATATTTTATTGTCGTTTAATTCGCCATCACCTTATTCAATCATTAATTAAAATTCAACAGAAGTTTCAAATAGGAAAACCTGTGACATTTTGAATAGAATTCAATATGGCTTTTTATCAAACCGTTACATAGCGCCTTGAGTGGATCGATCTCTGTTTCGACGAGAATAAGACATAACTGAAAATAAAACATAACTGAATTGCAGCACGATATAAGAAAACAACTTTTGAGGTTTGTATTCGATGACGGAATTTCTCGATAGGTGTCCTGCAAGGTCTCAGTTGGGATGGGGTCAATGCGGTCGATTTGAACGAAGCTAAACCAAAATGAAAAGAGTATGTCGTCTGGGCTTGTCAGAAATGGGTTGGCTGGTGAAGTTGATAAAAAACTGGACTGGCATCAACAGTTCGCCGTGTTATTGTTTTTATTCCCTACGTTCTTTCCTCTCCGGACTTTTGCCACTATTTTTTTTTTTCTTTTACATTTACTTTCGTCTTCATCTATCTATCTATCTATCTGATTTTTTTTCCTTTTTGTTTCTCTTCTTCCTTGCGTTCGTTCCTCTTCGGACTTTTGCCTATATTTTTTTTTCTTTTACATGGTTTCATCTTTTTTATTTCCTTTTTATGTTGTTCCGTTATTTTTTTTTCTTTCTTTTCTTTTTTCTTTCATTTCTTTTTTCATTCTTTTCTTTTTTCTTTCTTTCATTTGTTCCTATCTACAATTTTACCTTTTTTGTTTCTTATTCATTTTCTCCATATTCTTTTCTCTCTCTCCCGCGCTCTCTCTCTCTCTCTCTCTCTCTCTCTCTCTCTCTCTCTCTCTCTCTCTCTCTCTCCCGCACGTTGCTTCCTCTTCGGACTTTTCCCTCTATTTTTTCTTTCTTTCTTTCTTTCTTTCTTTCTTTCTTTCTTTCTTTCTTTCTTTCTGTTGCTGTAACTACCATACCTGTCATTCGGTTCTTTCTTTTTTTCTTTTGTCCTGTTTCAATGTTTTTTTTTGTTTTCTTATTATTTTTGTACGTATTGTTTCTTCTTCATCGCTCTCTCCCCCCCCTCTCCCCCCCTCTCTCTCTCTCGTTGTCAGGTACGTTCTTTCTTTCTTCTTTTGTGTCGCTCTTAGGATTCACTTTCCCTTTTTGTTGCCCTTAAAGTTCGTCATTCATTTTTCATCGGTACATTCCATTTTCATTTTCGATCGTCACCCTTTTTTTTTTTTGTCACCCGTAGCGTTCGCTTTACATTTCTTTTTCTTTTTTTCTTTTCTTTTTTATTTTCTTTTCGTTTTTTTTTTTTTTTTTTTCATTTTGTCGCCTTACCGTTCACTTTCCTTATTTTCTGTCGCTCTGAGCGTTTGCTTTTCTTTTCCTTTTCGTTTCTCATAGGTACACCATTCACTTTTTGGTCACCCGTTCAGTTCGCTTTACATTTTTTTTTTGTAGCCCTTACCATTCGCTCTTCATTTTGTCGCCCTTACCGTTCGCTCTTCATTTTTTGTCGCCCTTACCGTTTGCTATTCTTTTTTTCTTTTCTTTTTTGTCGCCCTTACCATTCGCTCTTCATTTTCTGTCGCCCTTACCTTTCGCTCTTCATTTTATGTCGCCCTTACCTTTCGCTCTTCATTTTTTGTCGCCCTTACCGTTCGCTTTTCTTTTTTTTGTCGCCCTTACCGTTTGCTTTTCTTTTTTTTTTGTCGCCCGTACCGTTCGCTCTTCATTTTCTGTCGCCCTTTACCGTTCGCTCTTCATTTTTGTCGCCCTTACCGTTCGCTCTTCATTTTCTGTCGCCCTTACCGTTCGCTCTTCATTTTTTGTCGCCCTTACCGTTCGCTCTTCATATTTTGTCGCCCTTACCGTTTGCTATTCTTTTTTTTTTGTCGCCCTTACCATTCGCTCTTCATTTTCTGTCGCCTTACCTTTCGCTCTTCATTTTTTGTCGCCTTTACCTTTCGCTCTTCATTTTTGTCGCCTTTACCTTTCGCTCTTCATTTTGTCGCCCTTACCGTTCGCTCTTCATTTTCTGTCGCCCTTACCGTCTGCTCTTCAGAAATCACATCAGCTGTCTTCAGGCCAATGCCCTAAAGTTGGACTATCTCGATTTATCGCCGAAAGTTAAAAGCCATCTTTTCACCAAACGAATTTGTAGAGTCTGTATCAGCCAAATCTTATTGTCCTCAACAGGAAAATGTTGCCGACCACTCGTCAGCAATGGAAAGGGTAAAGTGAGTGAGATAATTTCCCTACTTCTGCATTTGTTTTTTATTTGTTTTGTTTTTGACCATCTGCTTGCTGCGAAGGCAAAAAAACTCACTAAGAAATTTTGGAGAGAGGGACTCCAATTTTTACCAGGAAATCTCGCCTTCGAAGTAATTGATGATTAGTAAATTCATGGACAAAGAAAAAGACCCCCACCATATCGCTACATTCTGCCTCTTATGCTTTTTACTTAAAGAACTTCTGACAGTCAACTGACCTTTTCAAATATATCGTATTTCAGAAATACGGTGCCTTTTCAACAAATTGTGTAGATTTTATTAGTTAGGAGATGGGTATGTAGCAAGTAGACGAACGTTCGCTTTCTGACCATGTGACCTGGGTTCGAATCTCACCAGGGTCGATTTGTCAGGTAGGTGAGTTCTTGATGTTACCGGTTCTTGATGATCCCAGTGTGCGGCACCTTTGGAAAGTGACTGAAAACCATATCATTGTTTGACGCAAGTCTTGTGTGTGAAATTGGATAGATGGAACTCCTTGGTTGGGCTAGCATGGAGTCACAAGTCATCGTGACCGAGGTTTTGAGTGTGCTGGCCTTTTTTCAAATTGTTGATAACGCTAGAAAGTACGCTCCTTCCCAGAAACTTTAACTAAGGTTTGCTCATCATAGTTGCAGTAGAAACCACAGGTGGACTCCGCGAGTGTTAAACAAACACAAATATGCCTAAAAGACGAGCATTTTCGGATACGAGTGGCCATTATTATTATTATTATAACTTTTTATCCGAAATTCTGAATTATGCTTGCTTTCTCTGTCAATTAAACGATGATTTTAGTAATAGAAATATCCATTTTGATGGCAGAAGTTAAGGAGACTGAGAAAACTCCTAGAGAAGGTAGTCAAGGAAAGCAAGAAGAAAGGACTAACTATTAACTGTAAGACGCTAGAATTCACGGTCATCAGCAAAAGAGACAATCCAAGTTGGGAGCTACGAATTGAAGATGTCAGAATCAAGTATGTACAGAAAGTCAACTATCCAAGCAATCTAATCACGGACAACGGGAAATGGGACACAGAAATCCGAAGCCGGATTGAAAAGGCGAAATATGCTTTCCAAAAGCTAATCAAAGCATTAAGAAATTGGTAAATGTCGTTAAAAACAATGAAAATTGTGCTGAACTGCTACGCAATATATATCTTCTTATATAGCAATGAATGCTGGATAATTTATTCACGGATGAAGAGCAGACTTGAGGCTACTGAGATATGGTTATACAGAAGGATGCTCAGAATGCAATCGACAGAGCATGTGAAGAAAGAAGAAGCTTTAAGGAAAATAGAGACGAAAAGGACACTTATAGTTAGGATCAGAAAGAGATATTTGACATTTCTGGAACACATAATGAGAAACGATTGCTTGGAGAATTTGGCACTCAAAAGACATAATAAAGACAGAATGAACAGCGATTGAACGACCTTCTGTAAATGGATGGCAGGACAGGAATTGGGTTTAGTCCGTAAAGCGACAAGAGCTATAAAGAATAGGAAGTTGTGGAGAGCCATGATTCCTCGCGTCCTGAAGCAGCCGCGTATCTCTTCTCTCCCTGTTGCTATTATTATAGATTACGTTATTTTCATTGCCAAAGATTTTGTTTTCCCTCCTCCTTCCTGCTCTGACATCTTTCTTACCATTACTATTCCCTATCAGTTCGACATTTCCTTAGACGACCTCCCCCCCTCCATCCGTGAAATAAAGCTCTCTTACTTTCCTGCTTACTACATACCATGCCACTCAAAACACCTCAGCTTTAAGCACATCCACACCCATATACGACCAACCGATTCTATCATAATATTTATTTGAACTGGACATCTTTGAATCCATTAGCTAACGTATCATATGGTGCGCACTCTAAATCCTCATAACAGACCGACCCTCTCTTAATACAACCATATATATATATATATATGTATATATATATATATAAACATCATTTCCTCAAGTCAATGGGAAGGACTTTCTGTTTGGTCGGCGAAAGAGACTCAGTTATTTTTAAATCCTACCTTGATGTTTGCTTTTCTCGTCCATTTTGTTTGTCTTTTATACTCCTTTATTTTTCATATTTTCTTTTCTTACACATTCCCCACCCCACGCTCTCTCTCCTTCTCTCTCACTTTCTCTATATTAATTTCTCCTTTTTTTTAATCTCTATTTATCTCTCACTTTCTCTTTCGTTCTCTCTCTCTCTCTCTCTCTCTCTCGTTCTTTTTTGCCCTTTCACTCTCTCTCTTTTTTCAACTTTTCACTTTCTCTCTCTTTTGCTTTCCGTTTCTTCACATTCTCTTTTTCTTTCTCTCAATTTCTCTACCAATTTATCCCATTTTCCCTTTTGCTCTTTCACTTGACTCTTTTTGTTTTTCTTTCCTTTTCTTTTCGTTTCTCTCTCTCTCTCTCTCTCTCTCTCTCTCTCTCTCAATCTTTTGCCTTGTCTCTCCATCTCTCTTGTGTCGTCTGTTTTTCTTTCTATCCTTTGTTTTGTCTTTCTTTCCTTTTTTTCTCTCCCTTTCTCTTTTGCTCTTTCACTTACTCTTTTTGTTTTTCTTTCCTTTTTTTTTCGTTTCTCTCTCTCTCTCTCTCTCTCTCTCTCAATCTTTTGCCTTGTCTCACCATTTCTCTTGTTTCGTCTGTTTTTCTTTCTATCCTTTGTTTTGCCTTTCTTTCCTTTATTCTCTCCCTTTCTCTTTTGCTCTTTCGCTTTCCCACTCTCTCTCTCTCTTTCTGTTTCCCATAAGTCTTTTTCTTTCTCACTTTTGATTCGTCTCTCGCTCTTTATCCTTTGTTAATCTCCTCTTATTTCCTTCGTCTCTCTTTCTTTTGTTTTATTTATCTATCTTTTTTTTCCTTTTCGTCTCCTTCTCTCTTTTGCTTCGCCTCTCCTATTCTCTCCGTCTCTCTCGTTTGCTCCGTCTATCTTTCTTTTTCTCCTTTGTTTTGTCTGTCTGTCTGTCTTTCATTTTTTTCGTCTATCTTTCTCTCTCTCTCTCTCTCTCTTTTGCTTCGTCTCTTCCTGTCTCTCCATTTCTCTCATTTGATTCGTCTTTTCTCTTTCCTTTTTTCGTCTATCTTTCTCTCTCTCTTGTTTTTTCCATCTTTCTTTCCTTTTTTCGTCTTTCTCTCTATCTATCTATCTTTTGCCTTGTCTCTCCATCTCTCTCATTGGTTTTGTTTGTTTTTCTTTCTCTTCATTATTTTGTCTTTCTTTCCTTTTTTTCGTCTATCTTTCTCTCTCTCTCCCTCCCTTCGTTTCTCTCTGTCTCTTCATCTCGCTCATTTGCTTCGTCTGTTTCTTTGTCTTTCTTTTTTTGTGTGTATCTTTCTACCCTTTTTGGGTCTCTCTCTTAATCTCTCTCCTTTGATCTCTCTCTCTCTCTCTCTCTCTCTCTCTCTCTTCTCTTTTTATGTTCACGGGGAATCTATTCTCTAACAATCACCTCTTTCTATATATTTTAAAATTTATGGCTGTGATTACATTTAAATACGTTTTGTGGTTTGCCAAAACCTATTGACTTCGTATTCCACCGACCCGAAATTAGACGATACTGATTCGATTCCTGTTTCTAGGTGTGTTCGTTACCAAGGCACATCGGTACATCTTAGCAAGAATTTTCCTAGGGCAATACCGTTAAAATGAAGAAGAAGAAGAAGAAGAAGAAGAAGAAGAAGAAGAAGAAGAAGAAGAAAGCAATTTCCCATCCAATTTGCAACTGAAAAGGGAGACAAATGAGAAGATAGAGATGGAGAGACAGGGAGAGGAGAAGCAAAATAGTAAGAGAGAGAAAGATAGGCAAAAAAGGAAAGGAATAAGGATAGAAAAAACAAAGGCGAGAAAGAAAGCTAAACATAGCAAACGAAAGAAATAAAGATGAATCAAGATCCATGTTGACGCATACAAGGAGCTATATTATAATGATTCGAGTTTTCAAGGTAGATAACTACATGTATACTAAATGTTATTTATATAATACTTTTCCGGATTTACTAATTTATTCATTTGCAAATATTTATATGCTGTAATGGAATGTCCCACACTCCCTATCGCCTATGTGGACTGACTATATCTGTAGCTATGTATAATGAGCACAGGATATAAATGGGGAGCTTGCTTCGGGAATTAGTTGGAAATTCGTCTCCGGCTGAGCTGGTAGAACTCTCTGCCTTCGGGCAGAGAGAAATCCAGGCGACGCTCTGCGGAAAGGGAGAGTCACGTCTGGGGTGGTAGACAGCTACCCGACCCCGTGTATACGGAATCTGCGGGGAATTTTTGCCCGAGCCTACGGGCTCGGTTTTTCCCCACATTAAAAACGGCCTTTTGTTACATCCTGCCTCGCAGGGAGGTAAGGTAATTAACCTTGCTTTGGGAATTACTAGCCTGCCACCCGATTACCTGTCTTTCAGTAGTGTATTCTCTTTTACAATAAACCTCTCTTTCTTTCATCTACGCGCGTGTGGCTTTTGCTTCACTCGAGTACCACCTTTTTCTGTTTGTAACCTCTTTATAGATACATTATACTATATTCTCTAAAATGAAATGATTCGGTATCGAATTTAATGACCACCAATGGCGGCCTTTAAGCAATATTAATTTCTTAATAACAGTCACTGTTATTAAAATATTTTCCTTTTTTATATTATTTTTATATGGTTTTAACTTTACTCACATATTGCATGACAACAATCTGAAGTTTTATCTGGGGCGCAGATGTAGACATAAAATCGACGCGCGTGCACACATACGCACAAACATCGATACACATACGTACATAGATCAAGACGTGAGTACGTACTCGCACAAACATGGACACATACGCACGCACTCCCATGCTCAAAAAACGACACATGCACACTCAAACGCCCAAGCGTTGATACATACGCACGCACTTAAAAATTCAAATACCGACACATATGCACTTCCACACTCAAACAGCGACATATCTACGCACACTCGCACAAGCAACAATATTTACACACGCACTCACACAAAAATCGACTCATACGCACTCACCTGCACGCTAAAACATCGATACATACACACACACACTCAAGCACCGACACATACGCACGTATAGCTTCAAAAGCCGTCACATACGTCTTTATACTTTCAAATATTGATTGACTAGCAGTATAACCCGTCATCGCCCGGGTGTTTCATTACTGGGAATTTTTGATGTTCAATTGGAGCAGTTTAAGATTAAAGTCAGCCCACCTGAAATTCCATATTAGTAACTTCAATTGGGTGCAACTGAGGCACATCCTCAAAGGGGGGTAACAATTTGAATGGGGGGTAGCCCTGAAAAGGACCGTTTTTGCGTTCTCAATCTTGCAAAGAAGGAACCTATCCCATGGACCGTCATAATGATAATATACGATAATTTTTTTTTATAATATAATTTTCTTTTATAATTCTAATAATCTTTTGCGTTAGATTTCAACTCTCTAAACTGATTGTACGCTGTTTTTTACAGACATTAAATTTTGCCTTTGATTTTTGCGCAAAGTGTAAAAAATAAGTTTTTTCGATTTTTCAGCTTTAAGGTTGTAATTTTTTCCATCCAATTTGGACTCAAAACCGGCACTGAAGAATTATCTATCAAACAAAACAAATTTCATCGAAATCAGATGAAAACTGTGGAAACACATAAACAACATCCGATCATACACACACAGGGATACGTAATTACAAGCACACATTTATAGAAATATAGATATATAAAGATACATACACACAGACATACATACACACTCATACATATATACAAGCACACATTTTGGGAATTATAGATATATAAAGATACATACACACCCATACGCCCAACCATCGACACATATGCACGCACTTGCATGCCCAGTCACCGACATATACACATGCGCTCGCTCAAGCATCGACATAAAAGCACGCATTCGCGCACTCAAAAATCGACACACGAGCACTCGCGCGCTGAAACATTGACATACGCCCGAATGAAAAAACACACACGTCCAAATACTGATATAAGGAGATAAAAAAAAAAAATAGATGAAAACATTAACACACGTTACCTCAAAGCCTGGCAATCTACGTTTTTGACGGCTGGTTAAAAAAAAAAAACAAAAAAAAAAACATAGAACCCTAACATCCCTAAACTTGTCCCATTCAAGTACAAATTTGTCTATTTTTTTTTTTAAACGCGTTCTATTAACACACCTTTATTTTTCTAGGAAACCTTTCTTCGTCTTCAAGTTTAGGATTTAGGCTTCATCTACATTTGCCTTTGTATGGCGTCGATTTCATTCATGAAATATCATCTCCGCACCATCCTTTAAAGGCTAGAAAACGTTAGCGTATGATCCCGGTCTATCTTTGCAAGTAGATCGATCGAGACGAGCATTTAGATCAGGGATTGCCAAAGTAGGCCGTACCGTTCCCTCTGAGGCGGTGGTAAAAAAAAAAATCCAGAAAGTTGTGAGGAAAAAAAAGGGGTTGGTGAGAAAAAAAAGAGACGTTGTAGGAGACGACAGGGTGGCATTAGAATCAAGTAAAAGTATTTTCCTTTTCTTTTTTTTTCTACATCATATTTAGTATCTGTCTATAATTCTGAGATCAGATATTGTAATTATTTACACTATTTACATTCTTGGGACTGTTATCCTCACCTTTACGCATCCTGGGTATGACGATAAACTACGTCCAACAGCAAGGCCTCTGATCCGGAGGTTTTTAGGACCGTGGAACCACTTCTTAATTACTAGTGTTCCCAGGTCCACCCTGACCCTGGGTGGTAGCACCTGTTAGGGTCCCAGCTATGGGCAAATAGTTGACCCCCCAC